AGGGTCAGTCGGTAGCCAAGCGGTTCGGCGTGGGTGCTTTGTTAACTCACTCGAATTGACTGCCGTGTTGGTCGGTGGTTCAAGCCCTAGTCTGAGCGATCGATTTTCACTTGCTATCGTCTAACCCGTGTTAGGAATCACACGTTAAAAGGTAATACCTCGTTAATCCTTAGCTCGCACAAGTTTCGACTTCTGAGGGTTGTCGTTCATAGGGGGTGCGACAGCTGGTTAACGGAAAAACAGCTTTTAAACAGACAGACAGATTTTTTTTCATATATCTGATTATTAGTCGAGCAATTAAACATGCGCTTCATATCTTTAAATTGAACAATGGTATTGCTCCAGTTTTGTTTGTTCACATACCCATTCATCCAGAAATGAGCCTCATCCCTGGAAATTATTTTTCGATGAAAAGTAGGGTTAGTTGTCAATTGCACCAGAGCCCATTCAACGAACATACGTCGTTGTCTATTGTCGTTTATCTTCAGTTCATGGGTCAGTTGAATTTTGGACTCAAATTATTCCACCACATTGCGAATAGTTCTCTCATAGGATGATTATGTCGACCATTTTATGGTTGACAGTTCGGGCAGTATGTTGCCCGAACAGGACACCAATTTTGATAAAACAATTTTATTGTTTGCACGTGTTGTTTAAACCTATATAATGGCGATTTGGCAAAACAGACTGAATAAATGACAACTAATTTGATACATGCAGCTTCAACAAGATGGCCGTATCAATTGTCAAATTTCGGAAGTCCTTGTTAGAAGACCCTGTATAAATATAACAAATAAACTTACGCAAAACTGTCATTTCCAGAAACAGCTATTTGTTGATCAAATGGATGGAGCTGTAATAAACTTGGAGGTACTGCAGTTCTAATTTGAAACATTTGCGAATCTATTCTGTAAGCTGAAGCTCGTCTATGTTCCTCATCTGCTTCTAATCTTATGTTAGTATTTCTGTAATAAGCACTGAATTAATACTGGTATTTGTGAATATTTGATTCTGGATTGAGGTATGTATTAAACAAAGGTTATAGTATATACGAAGTCATTTCAAATGGCACAAATACTAAATAGTTACCAAACGTCGGCAGTTTCTTTGTATGGCATGGGCGGCGTGGTATAATTACATGGTCCAATCTTTATTTTTATGTGGGAGGTTTTATGGTATCAACTAGTAAATTTATCAGACACTGTACATTAGTCTTTCATTTAGCTGTTCGGATTGACTTCATATAGATTATACAAAGAGCGTGCACCAAGTTGAATTAGTTAAAATGTGTGTAAATCGATGGTTTTCTAAATTTTGCCAAGGAAAATCGAGCATATAATAGCCTTATAAAATGTATAACAAGCATTTGTTTAAAAGCAACATATTTACAATTATAGTAATTCGATAGTAATCAATTATATAAACTCAAAAAAACTTAGTTGCAAAATGCAAATCATAGGATTTATGTGAAATATAAGCACCAATATATGTTCATTTCAATATGTTAACAGGTCTAATACAATTAATCAGTTTGAAAAACTGAAAACGTTAATGTTTCATAATTTTTATGCATTAAGGGACATTATCAAATTGAAACTATATTAAATTGAAAGGGATATATTTTTAGGAAAGACTAATTTTTGGAAAAGAAAGGTTTTGACTGTCTTACCATTTTTATATAATAAAATGTGGGAATCTTCCAAAAAAACGGGACATAGCAAATAATTTCAAAATAAATTCTTTACAAAGTAGTAACTTTCAGACACAAACTGGAAGAAAAAAAGCATGATCCAAAAAACAAACTAAACGTCGTCAAATTGTTCAATCTTCAAATTCTCACTAATTTTTCAAATGTTTCAAAAGTTATTCTGCCATTCAGCTAAAACATGAAAATTGTTCCGGCCGTTCTATATCAAGCACATTTCATTCTATACCTTGTCTGTCTCCAGTTTCTTTCATGAAAAATGGACGATTCAATGTCTCCAACACACTTTTCTTTTTTGTTGGTTAGCGCAAATCTCTTCGAAGACCATTCCACAAACTTTGTACGAACCAAAGGCTTACGACAAAATTGAATTTTATCTTGGTTGTTTTCATTCATATTATTTTTGTGCATTTTTTTATTTCTGTTAGCCAAAATAGATCTGGAAAAAAAATGATAACCCATGGTATTTAAATCCTGTAAAAACTAACCTAGTGTACTTTGGTAAATCTCCAGTCGGATGAAGAGTGGGGGGACTCTCGCCAGAAAAGTAATTTCCCTTATTCGGACTAGGTGGTAAACTCAAACTGGAATTATTCATGGTGCTCAAAAGGTTATCAGCATATTCACGATGTTCCTGAAAATTTTTCTGAGCACTTGATCAAGTTTAATGAAACATATTACTTACTTTGACTATTGCTCTAATATGACCAGTAACAGTACAGGCCATTCTGGCAACATCTGGATGAGGGTCGATCTCTAACGAACACAAAGCTATCCATATTTTCATGTAAATGGAATTATATCCTCCGAGAGAAGGTAGAATACTTGGACTTCCGCAATAATTTTGTGTCAACCCTTGATGACTCATATTGTTGATAGCTGAACTAGAGGCCACTCTTTTCATCCTCTCTAACGAATCTCTGAAAAATTCAAATACTTCACTGGATTTCTGATTTTTACAGAAGGAATCCAATCATCGCCCAAATCAAAAAGTAGAAATTATGAAAAAACTATCAGAAAAGGCTAGGAGACAACATATTGCAGCAATGAAAAGGAAGACTCCCATAATTGGAATTTCATTGAAAATAAGAAATGTACCCCTGAAATACCTAAAATTGCTTTATTTTGTATTAGTATATTCCAAAATTCAATATCTTATATCGGGAATGGCAACAACTTCCTTATTAAAACCAATTAAAAACTTCAAAACAAAATTATGAGATGTATATTCGAGTTGAACTACAAAGAGCATACACTCAACTTGTATAAACCAAAAAAACTATTAGATTTGTCATCCTTACATAAATTCAAATTGTGTACCTTCATTCATTCGGACAGAAATAAGCTTAAACATTCAAATTTGACTTTCAAATCAATGGTGACCAACACAACCATTTGACACAATATTCAGGCAGTCTAAAATTAATGAAAATGAAAACAAATATTCAGCAAAATTCGATTTATTATAAAGTTATCAAGTTTTACAATGAGCCACGCAACGCTTTATAAAAAATCATAAATAANATTTCATTTTGATTTGAGGAGAAAGATTTCGGTTATTCATATCTGTTTACATTTGAGATTTTATGTTTATTGTGTATTGAGTTGTTTTAGTCTTTCTAAGATGTGATGTTGCTTGAAACTTTTGACATGGGTTTCTCCTTCAATAATTTGAGCACGATTGTACTCTTCGGTACCATGTTTATTCAAATTTAGGGAGTAAAACCCCTCAAAGTGAATAAATACTCCAAAAAGATCTGTACACAAAATCAGAACAAATATCTCAAAAAATTGTATCCGTTTTCACACATCACATCATGATCAATAAAAAAATAACCCCTTATTCCTCACCTACTTTCCATCCTTTTCAAATCTGATGTCATTATGCTGTCTCTATTTGAAGAAATACTGGGTTCCTTGAGAGCAACATTTATGAATGCTGGTTCAAATGCTAGTACCATCCACTGCAATGCATTTATCAGTTCTTTACGTACCATGGGACACATATCGTTGGTAATCATATTCACTAATGTAATTACAACAGAATGATCAACATTGTTTGCGTGTTCGGAACGTTCAGTTACAGAATTTATGAATGTTCCAAAGGCATATACAGCAGCTGCTCTAACCTAAAAAAATATTTACGATTCACGAAAAATATTTTAATTCGAATAACTCAGATCTACTACAAAACATATTTCGTTGAAATTGTGTTTTTGTAGATACTATGCATTTTATTTACAAAAGAAGTCAAAAGTGTAACATTTTCTAATTTGAGACTCCTTGAAGTTAATAACAGGGATATTAAAAGAATTTTTGGAATATAGATGAGAGACATGTATAACTGGGGAACAAGTAAATTATTCTGAAGTCTGAGGCAAGAAGGGTACTTTGAAGATCTGTTGTTTCCGAAACTAAAATGTTGAAGAATGTTTGACAAAGTTTTTTACAATATTGATTTAATGGGGGGAATCAACTGACTAAGAAAATACTTCTTCAAAATAAATCAAATACAGCAACAATGTGCACACCAAAAAAATTATATTTATAGAAGTCAAATGAAAACAATAAAGCTTCTCAACTCCAAGATATCTATATAGTCGTCACTAGAGGTACAGGAATCCCCAGAGCTGGTTCA